ACCTTTAAAGAAAAAATAAAAATAAAAACATTTTTTTATGATAGGATGAATAATTAAAATTAAGAGATAATGATAAGGTTAAAGAAGAAAAAATAATATTTGTTTCTCTTAAAAAATAAAAAAATAACTATTATTTTGGAACCAAACCTAGCAAAATTAAATCCAATCCGAAGATTAGACCCAATTTATCCGCTACGCGTTGGGTTGTGGATCTCAAATATTGATTTGAAGTCTAATATAACTCAAACCAAAATTATCCAAACCCAACTAAATTAGGTCAAGATTAAGTCGACTCAACTCGAAATGGTCAGACTAAAATTAATTAATTTTTAAAATTTTAAAATTTTGATTAATTATACTTTTAAGTTTAATATTTAAATATAAAATAAAAGTATATATATGAGGAGAGATTCACTTATACATAAATTTTATATATTATATTTATACAAAATCTCAACTATTTATTTTTCTATTTTCAATAGTTAAAATTTATCAAGATTTTTCAAATAAAAAAATAATTATTTTTAATAAATGTAAATAAATCTCAATTATTGAAAGTGGAGGGATAAATAGTTCAAATTTTGTGTAAATACAATTTATAAAACTTATGTATAAATAGATTCTACTTATATATATAATGAAAAGTGTTTTGTGGGTTGGCCTTCTAAATTTTTTTTCGAAGACATGTTTAAAAACTTATTTTTTAATTAATATTTTTAAAAATTAATAGTTGGATTGAAAATTTTATTTATATAAATCATATAGACTAATTTTCAAACCATTTTGATAGGCTTAATCACTTCATTGATAATAAGAAATTTAGCATCATTAAATATATGTTATTAAATAAAGTTTCTTTAAGTAAATGGTTATAAATGTTATATTAATGTAAAAATTAATATACATAACATACATAAATAAAGCTTTCGATTTAATAGTCAATTTAAAAAAAAATTAATTAAAATATGAGTTTTTAGACAAGTTTTTCAAAAAAAAAAATTAGGATGACAATTTGTCATACACTATCCTCTATATAGAGTGATTATTATTTAGATATTAGTACTAATTAGCTGGATTTGTAAAAAATTATGTCAAAAAACACTTTAAAATTATGTTAT